CATTTTTTTAAAATACAAAAACATATATAGTTATAAATTTTGATCAAATTAATGGCAGTTTGATAGTTATCATTAGTTCTCTAGTTGGCTTTAGGCTCCACAGAGGGGATTACATTTTAAAGTTGGCTGTTGCGTTGCTAATAGAACATTTACATTCGAAATTCCAGGGCAGATAAATTTAATTTTAGAGGTTTTAGCTGAATAAAATGGCCAAAGATGCTTGCAAAATTATTTTGTCATATTTGGCAGTTAATGTGAACGTGATTCCACGCAGGAATATCAGGCTTTAAAATTTGATTAAATTCGGTCGCATCAAGTCTTTTAAAAATAGTTACTTGAACTTCGATTAGAAAATTATTTATAGTCGATATTTCATCCTTGTGATTGCATCAAATTAAATTTATGAAATACATTCTCGTTCTCGTTGCAATCAATTTTCACTTTCCTTGCCAACCAATATTTGGGTTGGTGCTGATGAAATTGCCAATTAGATGTTTTCTCCATATCCACAGAATTATGACGACTTCTTAAACTTGACATGTCAACCCCTCCTACCAGAAAGAGGAGCAAATTAATGATAAAGTGACCAAATAAAGTTGACATCAGACATGGGAGCAGGTAGTAAAGACAGCTAACCATATCCTTCTCACTATGTTCTATGAATGAATGAATGAATAAAAAATATTTTTCCATTACGCCAATTAAAGCCTGCGCATATTTATTTGGAAACCTTTAATATTAGACCAATTTATAGGTCTAGCATTTTCTATATCAACGGCACAATGAACGTTAATAAATAAAATGTATTAAAGTTTCTATGAATTAAAGTTTTAATGGCCACTAACGTTGCATGGTCACATTATAAAAAATCTCAATTGAAATTGAGTAAATTGGCAACTTTCAGAAAATATCTTAATGATTAAATTTAGCCGATGTAAACTACCAACATCCAGATACAACTTGTATCGAAAGCTTAACTCATCAATCTAATTAATATAGGCAATTGATTTTATGTGCACTGAGATTAATCATGGATTGACAAGCGTGCTACTTAGCCACTTAAGTAGGTTCCGTTAATTCACGGAGCGTTTTACGTAAAAAACATTTCTTCACAGCTTTCAATAGCAACTTATTACGGCCATATACTGGTGATTAAACCTCCATCATTCAAGTTCGTCATTAACATGGATGAGGTATTGACGGAACTGATTTCCCTTCGAAGTTCAAGTAATGATTTAAATGAGCTAAATGCGGTTGATTTATATTGTTATATCAGATTTATCGGCACGCACCCTTAATACGTTTGGTTGCCAACATCGATCAAAAAATAAAATCGCCTAATATTGGTTTGAATGTTCGTTTATGCTACATTTTTCTGGAATACTAACATTTTTTATCATCGTATTCAATAAGTCATTATATTAGAATTATGGCCTTCAAGATTAATTTGTTTTGTCAACCTAAAGCGCATTCACAATGAACGATATAATCTCTAAGGTGGTACGCGGTAGACTTACCTCCACGTGGTGCAGCCTGGGCAACGTATGCTCATACGGCAAAAAAAGTCTATTAACTGGCAGTTGACTTCTCACCTCAAACTACCATCCCCTCAATCTATTCCATATTCAACTATTTCCACAGTACTCACCCCACCTTTGTTCTACCTGTGTGTTTGTCTCTTATATCTTTGAAACACTCTTCTATTCCCCTCCCCATCTCGAATTTTTTCAATATGATGTTCCTTCCTATCTGCGAAGCCTGAAGTCAACTAAAGAGCTAATGATAACCATCAAGAAGCCTGCCATATGATGAATAAAAATAAAATCTCTAAATGTAACATGATATGTTCCAATTCAACAAGGGTGGCAAAAGAATTTGTGTTTGGATTCATATTTAACCCATTTCTATACTCACAGTTAACTGCACTATCTGAAGTAATCATAATATTTAATTATGCTAATTAGCGGAGAAATTGAATTCTTCGTCAACAACTATTTACTGCTTTATTTGTCTGAATTCCACACATTATTACCGAAAATACCCTGTTCCAATTTCCATCAAAATTTTGCAGTGTCTCAGAGCAATACAACATTATTGGCTGAATGAACATCCTGTAATTGGTGTTTAGGGTTGAGCGTGCTCATCCCCATACGCGACCAGCAAGACACTTCAGTACATTCATTCTATTAGAGACTCGTTCTGCTATTTTAGCAATGTGACTTTAACATGTTGGCTTTGTGTCAAACGTCATTCCGAGATAAGTGAACTCGTTGAATTTTTCTAGGGTAGTATTCTTGAACCTTAGAAGTAGGATTATGCTGTGGCGGACTAAAGAAAATGTGTTGACTGCATTTTTCGAGGTGTTGAAAACCATTCCTTTGATGTTGCTCCAGTTTGCTAAAAGTTTAAGCGCATAATTTAGAACACATACTGTCTTCTCCGGAAAGCATTTCTGAGGGGCGGAATACCATAGAACAAGATCGTCTGCATAAAGTAAGCACTTGAAAAGAAAAAGAAGTAAAAGAAGACCACACATCACATTACGACCTAATTAAGAATATGGGCTTGGAGCAAGGCATATGCAAAATAATCAGATCAAATGTTTTGAAATGTCAAAACCACCTTAAGATATACGCAGTGTATAATTCACCTCTAAATAGGCCAAACTTTCATTGTCCGAAAATCTCACACCAAACTGAGGTGTTAGGAGACTTCAACACCCATTCAACCAGAAGGAGCTAAAAGAATATGAACATAGTTGGAAAGGAAATAGAATACATGCTTAACAGCAGCCATCTAGAACTTATTTATAGCAATGAGGCTTCTGCTACATATCAGCACTACAATGGAACCAGAACAACCCTTAACATACTCCTGGCTTTAAACCACATCATCGAGCATAGCACTTAAAAATAATTGACGATCTTGGTTCTGGTCACAAACCAGTCACTGCTAATATTACCATCGACTGCCAAAGCATGACAACGAAAGTATCAACTTAGTAATCATGGAACTTCAAGAAGGCCGACTTGTCCAGATTCACACAGCTTTTTAGACAATGAACTTCACGCAAGTCTCCTCAACTTCAACCAACATCCTGACAAATTTTGTAACGAAATCACAAATATTAAAGTAAGAGGTGTCTTATCTGTGTATGCGAGTCATGTGCAATGGGATCTGAGGCGTAATAACATAAAACACGCATTTTCACTTCCAGGAAAGTGACAAGTTGCCCTCGCGTGTGGGTTGAATTTCCTCCTATGCCTTCTCACTCATGATGATATTCTATCTCCAACAGAAAAGCTAACTGCCCTGCCTCCAGACAGTAAGAGCCATTGAAATTGACCACAACCTTCTTCACTTTCTATCTATTCGCACATCTATTCACCTTCTCCCCCCTAACCTGTCAATCTATCCATCTGTAGTAAATTGGTGTGCTTTCACAATCACTTTCTCGCTCTTGTAGGTCTATGTTGGTGATAAAAAGCCGATAATTCGCGAACACGATGACTGTAAAGTTTGGCAACAGACTGACAGGGATGTTGTCATAAGTCATCATTCCACCTAATAAAGCTTTCCAATCGCTTCTTATAGGTATTCCACAACCACCACCACTAATATCACAAAAGCGTACTTTCTTACTTCCTTACTTACTTATTCACTTACTTGCTCACTTACCTGCTTACTAGCTTACTTAGAAGAGTATGTGGAAAGCCCCCTCTGAGAGGAAAACAGTGTCACACCTTTGGCTGGGATTCCACCATTTCTACATCTTCGAGTTCGATTCCCTCAAACACAAAGTCTCCATTGATTCGTTGAACCTCGTGGAGAACACTTGTCCCCCGCAGTCATACTTATAATGGGTAAGGATTTGGGTGAGATGTGCAAACAATTTGTGGCTGGGTGCTTTCTCATCTCAAACCTTGCCTTGTAGAGCCCTTCGATACTTCTCACATGTTGATGCTTTTTAACAAAATTTGGGATACTAGTCTTGTAAGTAGCCAATTAAAATTTGCCATAGTAATACCAGTACTAAAAAGGGGCAAGGAACCCTAGCAACTTTGACAACTATAGGCCTATCTGCCCCTTAATCGTCCTGGCTAAACGAGTGGTAATTTAAATAATGTACAGTGATCAAATTAATTATCCCACGTGGAAACAAGTTTGAAAACTGGTTGCCATGTAAACAAGCGTATTTCACGAAATTAATGTTGTACCCAAATCGTACAAGTGCATTGAAAACCGTACAGTTCCTTATCGATAATTAAATAACTCAAGTTTGAAAAACAGATTAACTCAATGAAAATCTCATTCATAATAAAAAGAAAAGAATGAATAAAACACAATATATTCAATCCTCACTAATGCTTTAAAGCAAAGCTATTTAACAAAAGTAAAAAGAACACAAATTTATCAGTAGACAAATGTAGTTTGGGTTGAAAATTTGACAAGTGGCAACGCTTACCAATTGTGCACCTTGAGTTATTTAGACAAAACCTTAAGGACTTTAATGACTTCTTTTCCTAATCAATTAGACGTAGAGAATTGGAATTAACCTTGCCAGGATTGCCATCAGAAATTTTAAAGACTAGTGAATCGATACTCTGTAATGATAATAAATATGGAAATTCAAGTTTAAATTAACAGGGAAAATTTATAATAATAATAATATCATATAGCTGAAATCAAAACCAAAATGAATTGTTATGAAGCTCCAAATGCGCTTACTGTCCCTTGATACAATTAATGTCAACTATCCTGCAGATCAATTTCTCGAAATCTTCAATGATGGGCGATACGATGAAAACTAAGCAAAACTTTGTGCAGATGTTTTTTCCCAACACTTCTCGTGCAACGCAGCTGCATGACACAATAAATCTGCCTTCGAAAGGTAAATAGATTCCATGCGAAAACTAAATCAATGATGTTGTCTGAATACGAAATTCACCAAAGAGATAATACTTTCGGATTCACAGTCAGCAATAATATAAGTGGAAGCAATGAGCCGCCCCAAAAACAGCCGAGATATACGAATGCAAAAACCATATCAGTTGCTGAGATTAAAATACAAAACATTTGTCGTGGAATGGATACCTGATCACTGTGGCATTAAAGGCAATGAGATTGCTGACGCATTTGCAAAGAAGGGGACAACAATTATGCAATCCATAGACTGGCCGATGACTTTCCACACAATGAAGACGTTAATCAGGAGAGAATTCCATACCTCAATGTGCGACGAACTTAAAGCTCGAACAAATGAGAAACGGTGTACAGTGGCACACTCCGAGATAACCGGTTGGCCGAGAATAGAAGCCGTTGCTGAGTTTAGTCTACGTACCGGACAAGATGACATGTCAAAGTACCTTCATACTCAATCAACGTGCATCCTACGCAAACTACAAGAAGAAATTGGGATGTCCCACCTAATTTGGTGTCCAGCCTAAAAGATAAATACGAAAATGGCGGAATACTGGGAAGAGAGAAGGCAACTAATGTACTACTATCAAAGGAAATTTTTACAAATTGGAAGCTGAAATCAACTAAGGGAATAATGATAAATATCATAAAGCCTGCCATTTGAAATTAAATTTATATATTATTACTTTTGTTGTTATGCTTTTAAATTTTTACGTTGTTACAAAAGCAGATTCAACAACGAAGGGCATTCTGAAGCATATATAAAATGCACTACCACTACTTATTCATTTAAGTATAAATGAATATCAAAAAATTAAAAATATAACAAATTCTCCTTTTTTTTGGTTTACAACTCTAAATTTTTATGCGATGCTTGGTTGTTGAAAATTCGATTAGACTTTTAAAATTAGCTTACTACTTTACAAATATTGACTAGCTCAATTGGCACAATAAACTTCAAGGGATGATTTTGGGAGTATAATTTTTGGTGGCATCGGGTTTTGAACATTTTCTCATTAGTTTCGGGAGTGCAGCCTTGAAATAAATCGGCTGCCGAATAAACATTAAAGAAAGCGTTGTTACTAATAGGTATTATGAGGGTTTAGGATATTTGTGCTTGAAGATGTTGGCATTTGGTTATCACCTCAGTGACCACACGAGTTACGTTATAATGGCCGTAAAATTTTCAATTTCTTATTTTAAAGTCATTTTCTTGAATAATCATTTACTCCATTTGCTACGAGTCATTGAAATCAAGATTAAAATTAATCATTCGCGAACAAATATGATCTAATTTCGAAATGCAAAATGCATATAGTGAAAGCCTGAATGTTGTTTCCATTTCAACAGTGAAGGCGCTAATTATTAAGAGCGTTCCATAAATTCAAAGTAGTATTGTGCATTTTTGTAAGCTTTGGCTTTTATTCCTGTTGCGGAAATATATTGCTGCATTAACAGAATCGTTGGATTTTACTCTGCACCAATTGCACCCTATGCGAGTATCAAACACCAAGAACACCAGGTCGGCATATTCCAACAATAATAAAAATGCCATTAATTCCAATGACATAGCTTTCTATCATGGCGACCTTTTTTGAATTGGCCAACAAATGCAATCAGAAAATGTATCTCTGTTATTATTTTTAAGGCCAATTGTTAAGAATAATATTTGTGTTTATAGTAGGAATATCAATATTAATAAGTGTTTAGCCATTAATGCCTAAATGTTTAAGATTAGATTTAACGAGATCATTTCAATGTCTGGCTTTACATGATATTTGTGATAAAGATGGCCATTGACGTCTTCAAATAAGTAAATAAGAATTAATTTCCACAAAACAATTTCTCACGAATGCCAATAATGGCTTATTTTTTCAGTAAAGTAAGGTTAGAAATTGTCCACATATTTCGAGCAATTATGAACAAATAGCAATTTAATCAAAACTCGCCTTGAATTGTATCTTGTTGGATAATGTTGTTAACGCACAGTTTAATCATATCTCGCCTCACAAATTTCTCAAATCCAAACTTCTGCATAAATGATTTTTCAAGAAGAATTGCACTCCAGTAAGGAAGTACTGGCATATCGACAACGTATATGATATAACCATATTACCTTTATTCAAATTTAGTACTATTTGTGACTGCAATTGTTACATCTTGATAGAAAAGGAGATCTGCGTACAATTATTTTGTTATAAATTTCAGCAGCCAATTTGAGAAACGGATGCATGCATGAGAATTTAACTGTTGCATCCAAATCAAATCACAGGGAGTTGTCACTAGTTGCACTCTTTCAATATCTTCATCAATGACAGCCGAATTGGAGCAGTCTCTCACAGGCATCAGGTGCTTACTTTATGCAGATGGTCTTGTTCTATTGTATTCGGCACCTAAGAACAGCCCTCAAAAGATGACAGAAAGTGTTCTAAATTATGCACTTAAAATAATAGTAAACTGGTGCAACAACAAAGGAATGGTTATCAACACCACAAAAACTGCATTCCAAACACGTTTTGGCGTGTCACAGGATAAACCAGCTTCTAAAGTGCAAGGATACTACCCTAGAAAACCAACGAGCTCACTTATCTGGGACTTACGTTTGACACAATGGTAACATGGTAAAGTCGCATTGCTAAAATAGCAGAACGAATCTCGAATCGACTGAATGCACTGAAGCATCTTACTGATAGTGTATGGGACTGTACATGCTCAACGTTTAACACCAATTACAACATTTTAATTCAGGTAATAATAGTTGAATAGCCCTGAGCCACTCATTATACCCACAGAGTTGAGTCTCAAACCACTCGAGAAGGCACACAATCAAGCATATATTTATTTATTTTATTTATTAATTTATATCAAATGACAGATGCCTTGATGGTTAGCATTAGCTTTTATGTTGACTTCAGACTTCACAGAGTGGAAGGAACATCACATTGAAAAAATCGAGAAATGGGAGGGGGAAACAGAATAGTGTTTCAAAGATGTGTTGGATCCAACTGCTTGGCCACTTCAGAAAAGCAAAAACTTCTTCAGAACAAATGCGCTCACTGGCCGATTGGAGCAATCAATGTGAACTGTCATGCACAACAATGGCTCGAAGTCTTCACTGATGAGGAGTACATAGGAAACCAAGCAAACCTTAGTGCAAATGCTTCCTCTCGACTATTTGCTTTCAACGCAGCTGCAAGACACTATAGATCCGCCTTCAAAGGGGAAATTGGGCCATTGCGAAAATGCTAATTGAATTATATTGCCTCGATACGAAATTCACTAAAAGCAGTAATTCATTCGTCCACAATGTCAGCAATAATCTTAAATGGAAGCAAGGGGCGCCCAAAACAGCTGAAATATACGAGTGCCAAAACTGTATCAGTTGCTGAGAGTAAAAACAAAACAGTGATCCTACAATGGATTCCTGGTCACTGTGGCATTAAAGGCAACTAGCTTGCTGACGCACTTGATCAGAAGGGGACAGCAATTAACCAAAGCATAGACCGGCCGATGTTTTCCACACCATGAAGACCTTAATCAAGAGAGAATTCAAAGTGCTCTCTCTGACATAATAAACTGGCCAATAATCGAAGCTGTTGCTGAGTTTAGACTACGTACCGCACAAGATGGCCTGTTTAAGCACCTACTTAGATTAAGGGTAAACACTGAACCAACATGTTTCGTATGTAACCTGCAGAAGGAAATTGAGAAGACCCACCTGATCCGGTGTCCAGCTCTAAAGACAATGACGAAAACACAGAGATACTGGGAAGCCAGATGAGAGCTAATGAACTGCTTTATATGTACCTTCTTACTCATGGTGAAAGCTAAAATCAACTATGAGGCCAATGATAAATATCATAAAGCCTGACATTAAAAATGATAATTATATTTTATTTTATTATTGTGCTTTTAATTTTTTGTGCTGTTACAAAAGCAATTCCAACAGCGAAGGGTATTTTGATGCATATAAAATGCACCACTACTACTGATTCATTTAAGTATATATGAATATCAAATAATTTAAAATATAACCAACCCCCTTGGGTGTTTGAAAATCGGTTTAACTATTAAAATAAGTTTACTTATATTCAAATATTGACTAGCTCATATAGCACATTATATATCAAGTCAGGATTTTGGAAGAATAATTTTTGGTGGCATCGGTGTTTGGGAAAGGTTTCAAACATTTTAGCTTCCAGGATGCGGCCTTGAAACTTATTGGCTGCCGTATGAACACCTAACAATGTTTGATCATTACGAAGGTTTAGGAATTTTTCGCCTGAAGCTGTTTGCATGCGATTTTTATTTTAATGTCCATATGAGATGCGTGACAATTGAAGTAGAGAATTCCAACTTCTTAAATTCAAAGGCATTAACTTGAATAATAACTTATTCCATTTAACACGAGTCATTAAAACCAAGCTTGAAAATAATCCTTCGCGCACATATAAAACCTTTAGCTTAATCCTTAAGAATGTGTGGGGTGCGATAGAGTTACCTCCACGCGGTGCACCCTGGACAACGTATCTTCGTACGGCAAAATCTATCACTTGGGATTTGATTTAAGGGCACGATTTTTGCGCTTAAAATGCGAATTTGTAAGTCTCTCAAAGTCCTACTGATTAGGATTTGCAAATTGTAATTCAAACTAAGCTGCATCGGAAAGTTGTTAAAAGTTATGTTCTTTTACGTCAATGCCCCGTATAAATTCTATACCAATTAACTCATTACTTAACCAGTTAAGTAAATCCGATTTATACAAGGATAGTTGTGCATTAAGAGAATGCATTTACTTTATGAAGTTTCTGAGTAATAAGGCAGTAATAAACCATTAAGTTAAGTCAACATGAATTTTAAAATTACAATCAATGCCAATATTTAAATTTTGTTCAAGTTTGCAATTCCAACGAATCATCTATTTTTGGGTCTCAATATATTATGCTGCAGTTAAATCTCATTTTATCTGGATGTGAAAATTACAGTCACGAGTATTACTACATTTGAATAAAAGTGATATCGCAATATCAGATTAGTTGTGGAAATGCTTGCATTTTCTTATTGCGAATCAATTCATTCTTGAAAAAATCGTTTATGCAAAAATTAGGATTTGGAAATTTTGTGTGGCGAGATAGAATTGAACCGTGCGTTAACAACATTTTAAATGAGATACAATTCAAGGCCCATTCGAAATAAATTGCTAATTGTTCATAATTGTCCATAATTTCAAGGGCTACTTTACTGAAAAATGGGCCATTATTGGCAATTTTGAGACGTTGCTTTGTGAATATTTATTTAGATTTACTTATTCGTAAAAATCCAATTTGAAAAAAATTGTAAGTTAACTGTTAATTCAACAACATATTTTTGCAACAGGAATCAAAGTCAAAGCTTGCAACAATTCACAATACTAATTTGAATTTATGGAACGCTCTCTAGAAATAACGCCCTCACTTTTCACTGTTGAAATGGAAACAACATTCACGCTTTCACTAAATGCATGTTGCATTTGAATTTAGAAATGCTT